AGTGAAAGCAGGTGATCTCCTAAAGAAACATGGCCCAGAGTGCAGGGGTTGAGCATGTGGAGAAATGGCATCCATACCGAGTTCAAGCCAAGTCCATGTAACTGAGATCCCTTAAATGGTCCCAGAGAGCCGTCAAATGTGCATACAAAGTTCAGAGGGATTTGACGGGCTATGGAGTTGCACAGAAGTGGTTGGAAGGTGCATCGGCTCCCAGATAACCCAAATGCTGGCTGGAGCAGACCATTCCCAATCAAGCGAAGTCAGCTCTGAGTCCCAAAAGCTAGCTATTGAGGCTAAAATGGGCACACAAATGTCCTTGACCCCCCTATGGTTCTCCCAGAAGTGGTAGCTGCGAACGAGGTCGCACGGCTGTTAAGTTAGTGCACACCGGACGTTTGGGTATGGCTGCTTGACTTTCCAAGCATCCTAGTGACCTTGACCAAACGAAATCCGATGGCCCTAGACTCAGGTGGTCAGAATGAACGAGTGCTGCGTGGTCGTGATCATTATTTGTTTTTGTTTGGTCCGAGTCCACCTGATTTGGATTTAACCTTTTTCCCCCTCTCAGCGTCCCCAACAATGTAGCACTGCCTACTCAGATCCAAGTGTCCTGCTGGGTAGTCCTGTGCCTGGAACAGGCTTTGGAATGGTTGTGATGCACCGAACTCAGTCCGAAATGCGTTACTCATCAATATCACTGTCGTCACCTCCCAAGCCCCAAGCCCCAAACCACAATCCTTCCATTCCACCAACATCTGGGTAGGCCTTGAATGGACACTTGCATACGACAGTACCAGAGATAACTTTATCATACATCTACACCAACCGTCTAGCTTCTTTTGATCTGTAATCCTGCTAACACACTCATCTCAATACCACAACCAAAACGTAAGTTAATTTTTCACACACTCTTTTCAACATGCTGACCTTCCAATAGTGCATGCTCTTCTGGGGAAAACCACCTCTCTCATTGAGGAGAATGGAGGGAACCTGACAGCAATCGTGTCAGAGACCAGATCGAGACGAAGGAATGTCTCCATGGTGGAGGGCCCCGGCCTCAGTGACTTATGCCAGGAGCGCTGTGCCAAGTTACATGTCTGTGCCCTAACTTACTGACTGGCAACGAGAACTAAAGAGGGTCAACTCTAGTCAATTTTATTACTGAGGTGTAACCTATGTACAAGTTGAGTATATATTACAATGAGGGCAGGCCCGTAAATGGTGGGGCCGAGTGGAGTGGAGCTAACGGAGTTAATCATTAGCCGATTGAATATTACCGACAAGTCGGGTTATGGGGTTAGTGGAATGGTAGGCGATAACCCAGAAATGGAAAGGAGGGATAGGCCCGAAGGTGGGCTTGCAGGGCAAGCGAGTGAATTGCCCAGCGGAGGCAGGAGTGCACTAGCGGACGTCGGAGCTGTCCGGAAACCTTCGGGGCTCCATACTTAGGGAGGTGTAGGTAATATATTGAAAAGAGGGGGTGGTGACCATCGAGGGAAGCGGAGGTGATTATTGTGGAATATGGGAGCTCTGAGGTTAGTGAAGAAGGAGCGGAGGTAGTCCGGAGGGTTTGGAGGTAGTGGAAGTTGATGGCTGTGGATGGATATGACAAATTGCACATGTACCAAAGCTGGAAAAGGCACTCAATATTTTTCCTATTTGATTGGATGCTCATGATTTCTGAGCACTCTTCGCTGCACTGGGTGGACACACAGACTCAAGGGGCTTGGGCCCAAAAGGAGGTGATGATGGCCATGGGAAAGCGCAGACATGCAAGCATGAGGGGTCTGGTCAGAGAGGAAATGACAAACCGGGAAGGGCTAGATGTGCAAGCCTGAGGGGTTCAGGACAGAAAGGTGCACCTTGGACAACCACTATGTGGGCCTTTATAGGGGGGACCTCAGGACATTTGCATGGGGCCTAAAAGGCCTTTTTCACTATAAATGTCCTAGGACATCCTGGCCATTCAGTTTGATTCATTTGTTGCAAACATCCTCAGATGTCCTAATTCAGTTTGATTCAATGGTTGCAAATTGTCCCGGAATGCCATACTCGTCCATCCCATGGTCTGTGCACATGCTGACCACTGTCTGAACACACTTTACATAGTTGAATAGCCCCTTTGAATAGCTTCCAGAATATATATTTTGAGACTGAATTGACCAATAAATCATCGAGAAAAACGCAAAATACTTTTTTGGACGCGAGTCTTTTGGGTTAGTGTGGCTGTCCACCTCATGTCTGTGCACAGTGCTGGTCATTGTCCGGAGGGGTGTCCAGACTGTTTCCCACGGTGTCAACACACTTTGCATAGTGGATAGCCCCTTCCAGAATATATGATTTGAGACTAAATTGACAAGCAAGTTATTGAGAAAAATGCAAAATACTTTTTTGGATGCAAGCTCTGGGATAGTGCTTGGGCCACTAAATTTCACTGACAGTCATCGAAGTCATCAAAATTCCCGGGTCACTGATATCCCAAAGACTCGTGTCCAAAAAAGTATTTTGCATTTTTCTCAATAACTTGCTTGTCAATTTAGTCTCAAATTATATATTCTGGAAGCTATTTGAAGGGGCTATCCAACTACGCAAAGTGTGTTGACACCGTGGGAAACAGTCTGGACACCCCTCCGGACAATGACCAGCACTGTGCACAGACATGAGGTGGACAGCCACACTAACCCAAAAGACTCGTGTCCAAAAAAGTATTTTGCGTTTTTCTCGATGATTTATTGGTCAATTCAGTCTCAAAATATATATTCTGGAAGCTATTCAAAGGGGCTATCCATCCACATAAAGTGTGTTGGGGCCGTGGGAAACAGTGTTGACACCCCTTCAGGCAGTGGCCAGCATTGTGCACAGACAGTTGAGCAGCCTGAGGATTGTCATGGGAAATCAGATTCAATTGCGGCATTATGTTTTGAATGTCTACCCTGAATAATACAAATTTGATTGAATCACAGAAGCATTTGATTGAATTTGATTGAATTATAGAATCATCCCAGGACATCCTAGGACGTCCTGGGGATGTCCTGGTGAATGGATCAGTCTTCACCAGGATGTCCAGGACATCCACTAGTAAATACCCCCTTTTAGGCCCATTTGAAGGCCAAATGGCCCCCCCTCTATAGGCCATCATTAGATGGCTGACTAGGCTGGAAAGGTGACAATTGTTCATCTGCTGTTGTGCCTAACCAACTCTGGATCTTCCAGTCTAATGAACATCATGCTCACTTTGCTTATAGTCTCGACTTCTCTCATTGCTATCATTTCACCTCCAATCTTCTTGTTCCACTGACTCTTCATCAACCCAGCCCTCATACTAGAAGCACTCTTCCACACTGCCTTTACTTAAATGTAATATAGTGTGCTTGCTGAGCTTCTGATGAGATGATGTCCTTCATAAATATGTGATAAAGTCTTGGATTAGTCACAGCAGTAGGACAAAATATTGGTGATACTATTGTGAATCTTCACAGATAAATTGATTAAGTCCCCTGCAAACCAAGATTTTACAACATGATTCTGGTCAAATTCGTGAAAAAATGGGGATTTATGATGCAGGCAAGTCAAGATTAAATTGGGTTTATGCACAAACCCCTGTCACATGCCACACCTGATTTTATCATGGAATCACTTTTCTCAGTGTGTAGACAGCTCCTTTCCATCATCACTTGACATTTCTGTCAGCATCCCTTCCCCATCCACAATGGCACTTTCCAGACTGCAGCCCAGATATATGAGGAATGTGTGCATGAGATGTACATATTTTGCATGAAAAGGGGGTTAGCAGATGTGTGGGGTTATTTGTGGACATCATGGTACACACCAGCAATGTGGATCCTATGGGCACAATCCAGTGCACAATCCCTTCTCCCCCACCTTTGCACAACAATGACTGTGGAAAAACATTGGCAGTACCTCAAACATATTCATCTTGGCTTCATGCATCATCTGTGACTTGATCAGACAATCTATACAATGATCACAAGCATCATTCCAGGAATAATCAATAAATCTCTTGAGCTGAATGGGGAACGTCACCTTGGCCTTGCCCCCCCACTGACATCTTTCCAAACCCAAGCAAAAAAGTCCTGGCTTTTGCTTGTGACTCAGTCATCTAGTGGGAAAGACTACAAAACTGACATCTCATGGTGGACTTGTCAATGTGGTGCCCAAGAGCTGCAGGCACAGCATTTGTGCAAGCACCTTGTTCAGGCAGTACAAGCCAGAGGTCCACTTCCCTCAGATTTCTTTGGAAATCTCTCACAGCGTCGCACGGTTCCCATCTATAAACTCACACACATCCAGGATTGTGGATCCAACATTGAAGGATCAATCTTGGATGGTGATGATGTTTGGACAGACTTGCAAAAGGAGTTGTCGAAGGGTGCATGGAGGGTTTGCTTGACTGGCAACTTGAGGTCGAAGTGGAGTTGTGTCAGGGCACACACCCTGACTAGCCCGGACCCGGACCCATGTCCGGACCTGCTACACTTCCTGTGCATACTTCCCGTGCCACATGCTCCACGTGCCGCATGATCCGGCCCCAGATCCTGCCCTCATGTGACTTCCGGGTATCCCCGGAAGTTTTCCTGATATGGTGGCCACTGTGGGAAGATGAGAAGTTAGCTTCCTTCTCATCTCCTTACCCACAGTAGGTTGTGCCCTGGATAGGGCTGGTTACACATAGGGCTGTGGACCATAGGGGAGGGTCATGGGGACCCAGGAGTCATCCCCTGACACAACCTCCCCGGACCTTTGACCTTCTTGTAAATGGTTCTTTGACCTATTTTTACAGCAATTTGTTTTTAGCCAATGCTGAAACTTGTGCTGCCTAGAACTGCTCCATGGGATACTTTGGACAGTATCTCAGGGCCATGTAAACCTTTGTCTTCAATGTGTGTTTCAACTGACAATCAATCTTCATTTCACCACACCTTATGACTGATCGCTATTAGTTTTTTCTCACCCTTTTTCCAGATGTCTTGCTTACTACTTCAGATCTTGGTGGGCCCAGCATCACTTCCATCAGACAAGTGACCCCTACTACCTCTCACAGGTCTGGAGCTGGTGCCAAGGTCATCTCTGGAAATAATGGCCTCATTGCTATCATTCTCAGTGGTATCATGTGTGGGGCTAACGTTGTTGGATTGTGGTGATGACAAATATGGTTCATGGATCCTAAATATCTTCAGATGGGAAGGAGGAAGTGTAGACTCCAGAAAAGGCCCTACCCATTGTTGTGGGACAAAACTTGCCAATGAAGTCGAAATTGCTGTAGGAGTAAAAGTAATGGTTATGATGAATGCTGACAGGGACAAGAACATAGCAAATGAATGGCTCATGGGGGTGAGATCATCAAGATCATTTTGAACGAAAACGATCAAGCTCTAGTAAAGAACATCTCACAAGTCAAGCTGTAACAATTACCAGCTTATGTGCTAGTGAGGCTGAACCATGCAAGGTAAGCAATCTTAGAGGAAGGTGTTGTACCAATCTTTCCAGAGGAACAGATGTACCGGATATATGTATATATCAATGCAGGATGGTAAATCGAAGACAGTAAAACGTTGACAGCTGCCCATGACAGGGGCTGATGGATTCACAGACTACTGAGCCCAAGGCCAAACAATTCAACATGTCATCATCAATCTTGTACCACCACCAACAGGAGGATCAACTCACACCATTCAATGCTTACGTGGCATTATTGCAGAGCTCAGGCCTGTCATATCCATCCATGGCCATCACCCTCCACTACCTCCGGTCCTTCCAGATTACCTCCACTCCTTCATCACTAACCTTGGAGCCTCTGGATCCCACAACCACCTCTGACTCCCCAATGGTCACCACCCCCTCAATTCAATATATTACCTATGCCTCCCTAAGTACAGAGCCCCAAAGGCCTCCAGGCAGCTCTGACGTCTGCTAGCGCACCCCTGCCTCTGCTGGGCAATTTAGTTGCTTGCCCTGCAAGCCTACCTTCAGGCTGATCCCTCCTTTCTGTTTCTGGGTTATAGCCCATCACTCCGCTAAACCCATAACCTGACTCATCGGCAGTGTTGGATTGACACTGGTCACAAATTGTCACATGGTCAGACACTGACAGGTCAAATTCATATCAGATCACGTCAATTCCATGTCAATTGCTGGTCAATCCCCATGGGAACATTCCAAACAGGAAGCGAGTGCACATTGAGATGGCAACTGTCATGCCAGTGCCAACCCTCCCTCCCTTGAAAAGCATGTAGATTTGGTGTGGGTTGTAGTTAAATGTGAAGCTCTCTGAGCACCATCTCAGCCATCTTATTAGTTTTGTGAAATTAAAGTGTCCATGCAACTTGAACCCTGATGGTGCTTAAGGCTTAGTTTAAATTTTTAAATGTGAATAATCCTTCCACTTCCTACATCACGCTTCACCAATGGGTCTAGCACCTAGCCCCCTCTGGGAGTTCTTTCACAAATTGTCTGAGTTTTATGGGAATAATAAGACACTATGCTGCTATATGCAAAGGGTGTATCGAATCACACATCACAGCGCTTGAAAATGAAGACACGGAAAAATTGATGTTGGGCACTATATCTGAGAGACATGGTGAGGTGGAACTCAGGGCAGCTGGTATGTCTAAACATGGCTTAGTGTCTCCTAATGCCAAATTATTCTAGCAAGTGAACTCCCTCCCAAAATCCAAGGATCTACTGCGAGGCTTGCACAACACCTAACAGTATGCACACATGCTTCTGCTGAAGGCCATGAGGCAGGAATGGCCTGGAAACGCGCATGAGAGAAGCAGCCTTCACCCCTCCCTTGGCTATCTATCAGCACTGAAAATCCGTCAACTATCCACACCTCTCCATCTCCAACTCCGACCCCTCTGCTACTTGTCCCTCCCACAGACAACATTCCAACTCACTGGAGAAGCTTCTCACAAATTCCACCTCACCCCCTAGATCTAGATCAGGCTGTACTTGAACAACAATTGCTTGGCACAATTGTGTCAGCTGGGTGGTCTTTTCTCTCAGTTGATGATCTAGAGGTCATCAAGCTGTTCTCTCTAGTGGGAATTAAACTCCCACCTCGGAAGCACCTATCAGGAAAGGTCCTAGATGCTGAATACAATTCCCATCAAGAAGCATTAACTCAAATGATGGAAGGTGCATATGCAACTGGGCAATGTGATGGATGGAAAGACACATCTAGGAATCAGAATCAAGGGCCGTGCATGTTCGGTAGCAGGAGCAGTTCCCACACTTGATTGTAGCGGACTGCTATGCACACCAAGTACATTTTGTGGGGATTACTTTGCAGTTGATTCATTGACTTATTTCTTGCACAGATGCAGCTTGTGCTTGGGGATTACATTAAAAAAAATGGGCAGATGTCACTGAGGTTGGCTGAGGCAAACGACGTTATTAACTGGTTCAACAATCACTCAATTGCACTTCATTTACTATATGCGGAGCAACGCCGCACTGCAGACCAAGCAAGGGCTCTTATTAGACCTTGTATCACTCAGTGGACATCCCACATAATGGCCATTGGCCAGCTAATCCAACTGGAAATTCCATTTAAAGCCGTTGCAGTGAGGAGTAGAAAGGAACTTGAAATGGCTGCTGGAACATGGTGTGATGCAATCACAAAAGTGCAGCAGATTCTTGCAATAATTCAGGATGAACACTTCTGGGATGACTTGAAACAGTGAGTTAGAGTACTTTATCTCCAAAATAACTCCTTTTTAGGATCAAGGAGCACATTGAGCCACTTGCCATTAGTCAATGTTTGTCAAGATTCCAACACTAGGGCCGATCAGGTAGCGCTTATTTTTGGTCGCCTCTGCAAGTACTACACCGATATTTCTGCTACGGCATTGGTCACTCCTGGCAACAACCCTTCACCAATCCAAGCTATTCTTGACAGTCTGGATTCCTGCTGGAAAAAAGTCGACCATGATGTTTTTATTGTAGCTGTTGCACTCAATCCATTTGTCAAGACTGCACTCTTTACACCAATGGTCTCTATTGCACTCCTGGTCACCATGATAGAAAGGCTATTCTGCTGTGTGTTTGAGACAGATGCACCTGAGGCATTGGGCTCACGCAGTATTGCATATCTCATGGATCTGCATGATGCCTTTGGTTATACTGGTGGTGACTGGAGTCAGAATAACCTACGCAAGCAGATTCCAGTAAGAATCCCCATGTTTTATATGTGTAATTTCTCAGGTCTTTTCTCCTTAGGACTTCAATCCACTCAAAGCATGGCAATGTGCATGCATCACGGACCCAGTTGCAAAGCTTGCAACCCTCATTTTCTCTTTTGTTTTCAATTCTGCCAGTTGTGAGCGATTCTTTTCTATCACTGGTGACACCAAAGATCCTTCCCGAAACCGGCTGTCTGTTGAAAAAATGGTCAAAATCTCTGCTATCAAATTAGACCTCAATTGCGAGCACACAATTGAAGGGACACATCGGAAGTGCATACGACGTTCATTTGGCTATGCCCCATCAGCAAATGACTGCAACCCAACAGGGAGTCGCCTAGAGCCTGAGCTTGGGCACCCATCTTCAATTCCTGATGATGCCAATCATTCATACTTGTCATTCCAGGCCAACCTGCTGGACAATCTCAACGAGGACTCAGATGCTGGCCATCTCCCAGTATCCCATAACACACATGACTCTCGGCATGTAAGCACTTCCTAGATCCCACTCTATCATTGATATTTAACTCCATTCTAATTAGCGGATGAGTTTACAAGGTAAAATGATATGCGACATTTTTAACATGACCCTAGATGGGCCATGGAATCATTACTGGTTCCAGGGTGTACAGAATATGGCCCAAGAGCTGGAGATGCAGGATCTAGTTGTGAGAGATATGAATCTAGACCTGGACTCAAGTTTGAGCCAGGTTGTGGGATGGGGCTAATGAGTTTGGCCAATTCCGATACATTATAACTATATAGTCTTTCATCACATGTTTAGATACTCTCAAATGTATTGGATTTGACCAATATATCTAGTCCCTGTGACAATTGACTGCGATCAGATACAGTGTCTGTCACTTGACCTTTTGACCAGGTGATCTGATAGCGTCAAGTCCAACCCTGCTCATCAGTAATATTCAGTCAGCTAACATGTAACTCTGTTAGCTCCACTCCGCTCGGTCCTGCCATCCAACATGAGGGGGTGGGAACCGGGCCCGGAACATGCGGCACGTGGAGCATGCACAGATGTGGGAAGCGCAGCAGGCAGATGCAGGTCCAGATGCGGGTCCGGGTCCGGGCTAGTCAGGGTGTGTGCCCTGACAGGCCAAGGCCCGAGGAAGGAAGGAGGTTGGGAGTCAGGAATGGCTAGCTGACTGAATAGAAAGGAAGCAGCAGCCCAAATAGGAATGAGGGAGAAGAGCAGAATTGAAATGGGACAATGCAATAGTTGCAAGGTCCAAAGTAAGTCTGGAAAGTCCAAACTCGGAAGTAAAACTTTGGAATATTGGCAAAGGTAAATAAATGGAATCGGCTAACCAATACAATGGGTATAAGCAGAGGTGGGGTCAAAGTCTAAGGTCAGAGCTGTCAGGGGACGACTCCTGGGTCCCCATGACCCTCCCCTATGGCCCACAGCCTCAGGTCTGGCCAGCCCTATCCAGGGCACATGTCATATCTGTACAATCCTGACCTCCACTCCAGGCTCCCGGAACTCCGAACCTGACTTCCAGAGTCCTACTTCCCTTCTGCCACCTCCTCCTTGCTGACTTCCAAGAGGTTATCCCACCTCTGGCTCCAACACCACCTTCGGTCTGACTCTGGAACATTCCGGGTCCGACCTCATCCTCGACACCTTCCAGACGAGCATGCAACACCTATGTTCTTGACTCCGGACCTCCGCTCCGGAATCCCGTTTGCGTCTCCATCTCCGGAACCTCCGGTCTTAGCTCCGACCTCGGACTTTGACCCCACCTCCGCTTATACCCATTGTATTGGTTAGCTCATTCCATTTAATTACCTTTGCCAATATTCCGGAGTTTAACCTCCGAGTTCGGACTTTCCGGACTTACTCCGGACCTTGCAACTATTGCATTGTCCATTTCAATTCCGCTATTCTCCCTCATTCCTATTTGGGCTGCTGCTTCCTTCTATTCAGTCAGCTAGCCATTCCCGACTCCCATCCTCCTTCCTTCCTCCTTGGGCCTTGGCCCTTCATTCCTCCTTTGAGAAACACCATTGAGTCAAACCCTTGACCCTCGGTGTTGTTCCTCTTTCCATCTCCCTTTGTCTCCTTTCATCCTACCCTTGTTCCTTTTGATTCCGGACACCTCCTTATATACAATGTACCTAGTAACTTGTAACCTCAGTCCAAAATCGAGGGGGCCCGGGTGTAGTGTCCGGGGCTGAGAGCCTGGCAGGGGGCGGATCGGGCGTGTGTACTGACAGGCCCGATGCAGGACAGTGGTCCCTGGCCACTTAGACTGAAGTGGAAAGTTGTTATTATCATTAAAGGAGAAATATTGTACTACTTACCTGAAGTGGAAAGTTGAGAAGAAGGCTACTTCTTCGGTTCCCACTTCAGGTTCGTTTATATACATGCGGCTTAGATCACATGACGGGTACCACGTCACCCTCGCACACAGCCGTAACCACCCGGGTATCTCCGTGGGAGATCCCAAGGGCATCCGGTGCAGGTGCACGTACTGGGCACAGTGGGAAGTCGCCTGAGGTGCCCGGGCTGGGTACATGGTGGGTGCACTGCAGATGGGTCAATGGTACATTGATACAAAGAAAGTCGTCCATGTAGAATAAAGAGAGAATAAAGAAGAAGTAAGATAGGGAGAAAGTGAGGAGGGAAGAATGAGGAGGGAGGAAGGGAAAGGGGGAGGAGGTAAGGAAGGGTGGACAGCGGGGTTGTTAGAATGTGTGGATTTGGACGACTCCGGAGTGGAATTGGAGACTTAGCATGGAAGGACCTCGGCCTCAGCGACTCAGGCAGAGCGCTGTGCCATTGCTGGTTGTCCTGGGGGTCCCTAATTTCGGATCTAGCAGAGGGGAAGTCTCTTGGGGGAATTCAAGTCGATTTCGGACTGAGGTTACAAGTTACTAGGTACATTGTATATAAGGAGGGGTCCGGAATCAAAAGGAACAAGGGTAGGATGAAAGGAGACAAAGGGAGATGGAAAGAGGAACAACACTGAGGGTCAAGTGTTTGACTCAATGGTGTTTCCCAAAGGAGGAATGAAGGGCCAAGGCCCAAGGAGGAAGGAAGGAGGATGGGAGTGGGGAATGGCCAGCTGACTGAATAGAAAGGAAGCAGCAGCCCAAATAGGAATGAGGGAGAATAGCGGAATTGAATAGGACAGTGCAATAGTTGCAAGGTCCGAGGTAAGTCCGGAAAGTCCGAACTCGGAAGTTAAACTCCGATATTGGCAAACATAATTAAATGGAATGAGCTAACCAATACAATGGGTATAAGCGGAGGTGGGGTCAAAGTCTGAGGTTGGAGCTAAGACCGGAGGTTCCGGAGACAGAGACGCAAAATGGGATTCCGGAGCGGAGGTCCGGAGTCAGGAGCATAGGTGTTGCATGCTCGTCTGGGAGGTGTCGAGGTTGAGGTTGGACCCGGAATGTTCCGGAGTCGGACCGAAGGTGGTGTTGGAGCCGGAGGTGGGATAACCTCTTGGGAGTCGGCAAGGAGGAGGTGACAGAAGGGAAGTAGGGCTCCGGAATCAGTTTCGGAGTTCCGGGAGCCCGGAGCGGAGGTCGGGATTGTATGGATATGACAGGGGTACCGGGTCAGGTTGGGCTGGGTGGAGCTGGGTCAGGCAGGTGTGCCCTGACAGAATTCCCCCAAGAGACTTCCCCTCTGCTAGATCCGAAATTAGGGACCCCTAGGACAACCAGCAATGGCACAGCGCTCCACATGAGTCGCTGAGGCCAAGGTCCTTCCATGCTAAGTCTCCGATTCCACTCCGGAGTCATCCGAATCTGCCCGTTCTAACAGCACAATCCTACTGTGGGTAAGAAGATGAGAAGGAAGCTAACTTCCCATCTTCCCACAGTGGCCACTGTTGTAAACGGCGTTCCGGATAAGGCAACCTGGTTCCCAGTGGCTCACTCGTAGCTCAGATGTAAGATAGAAGCGGGAATATAACTAGTGATTTGGGGATGATGTCCGTGCATATATATATACAAAAGAATGAATAAAGAGGAAAATCTATGTAAGGCAACTCCTGTGCAGGCTGCGCGCTTAGTAAAATCCTCCACATGCCCCCGGATATCTCCGGTGACTCGCATTTCCAACAGCCACAATCAGCAAAACTTCCGGGGATACCCGGAAGTCACATGAAGGGGTAGGAACCGGGCCCGGAGCATGCAGTGCGCGGAGCGTGCATGCATGTGGGAAGCGCAGTGGGTGGAAGTGGGTCCGGATCCGGGTCCGGGTCCGGGCTAGTCAGGGTGTGTGCCCTGACAAGAGCTAAGACCGGAGTTCTGAGATGGAGATGCAAACGGGATTCCGGAGCAGAGGTCCGGAGTCAGGAGCATAGTTGCATACTCGTCTGGAAGGTGTCAAGGTTGAGGTTGGACCTGGAATGTTCCGGTGTCGGACCAAAGGTGGTGTCAGAGCTGGAGGTGGGATGACCTCTTGGGAGTCAGCAAGGAGAAGGGAAGTGGGGCTCCAGAGTCAGTTTCGGAGTTCCGGGAGCCCAGGG